AAAAAAAAAAAAAAAAAAGAGCAGATAGGCTTTGATGAAGTTTGATCAACAGGGGTGAGCAGAGGTAGAGCCTTCAAAACAGGGAAGTAATCAAATACCACAGCCTCAGATACCCTGACCGAACAAAGGCCACAGCTATTGACAGCATTTTAGACTGATTGATTGTTACATTGTTTCAGCTTCTCGTTTCGCTCCCGTATTTGGGAACCTACATGATACTTTCTCCACATCAAGTTTTGAACAATCCACCTCACACTTTTATGCGCATTGACCAAAGGGGCAGGGTCCCTAATATGGGTGCCCCTTCATAACAGTCCACCCATGTCATCTAGTCTATACCCCTAGCCACAAGTCATCCCCGTATTTTGCCACATACGTGGGTTCGGTCCTCCAAGGCCCGTTAGGACTCTCTTCAACCTGCTCATGGCTAGATCACCCGGTTTTGGTTCAAATCGATACAACTATCTACAATTTCATTACGCCGTTCACCTTAGACGTAAAAGGGAGGGGCTAAGCGCAGAAGCCGAAAGGGTTGGCAAGTCTTGTGAAGACCGGGAAGCCGCGGAAACAACAACACAAGCTCCCCTTTATCTGGAGGAAAAAAGACTCAGAAAGCACTGAAGAACTGAGAGTCGAGGGACTGGATCGATTTAACTGGGGATATAGAAGGACGTTTTCCGAAACCTGGACTTAGATAAGTGGTTAGGTAGAGTGAGGTATATGAGTGAAGAATATAGATTAGTTTTTTTACTTTTTTTATTTTATTAAAAAGAGCGGGAAGTACATTTTTCGAGGTTGCATGCACAGAGAAGGGTCCTTTTGATGGTGTGCTGTAATATGACTAACTTACCAGTGAGGCACCTGTTCCAACAGCAAACAGTTTTGCACCGTTTCTCTGCAGTCAAGAAAGGCCACAGGTAGAATCAATAAAAGTACAACAGCACACCCCACTCACTGTCAGCACCGATCATTTATCATTCCGCACTCTCCCCCGCTGCCCTCTTGCCACCCCCCCCTTCCTGTCTCACCAATCCCCTCTTCTCCCTTTCCCCGCCCCCACTTTTCACTTCCGCTGCCCCAACCCTCGCCTCCCGACATACAATGAAATCATGAGCTGAGACTTAATGCTTACCAAATGACTTCTTCGGAATCTTCGCTACATTCAAATTTCCTTTTCCAAGCAGACAACCAAAGGACTTTTTCAGGTCACTTGTCGTAACCTTCTGTTGCGACTTCTTTCTGCTGTTGCGACTCCCTTTGTCCGCTTGACTTTTTCTTCGACTTCGGTTTTACTCCTCTGTCCTACTTTGACAGACCTTACATCGCACAGCAACTACATACATGTACTTGCCAGGTCATCAACAAAACCTACGAGTAAAAACAAGGAGTGCCTTGAGAATCTGAACAACGTCTTCAAGAGAAATATCCACGCATGGGCCAGTGACAGATCAGATGGAAAAGCTGCTGAAGCACCTGCACGTATCCTGTGGTTTGATTGCTGATCAAATGGATCTACAGTTCAGAAATGCTACCATAGACAACAAAATGCACGGGGGTCCCGACTCCCGAGGGCCATGTCCACTCACCACAATAGCACCGCACCGCTGCAACAGTGTGTACGTAGTACCATTGAGTGCAACCTGATGGACAGTAGAAAACAAAGCAGACATATAGATCCATAAGTAATCTCTCTCTCTCTCTCTCTCTCTCTCTCTCTCTCTCTCTCTCTCTCTCTCTCTCTCTCTCTCTCNTCTCTCTCTCTCTCTCTCTCTCTCTCTCTCTCTCTCTCTCTCTCTCTCTCTCTCTCTCTCTCTCTCTCTCTCTCTCTCTCTCTCTCTCTAGTGTGTGTGTGTGTCACACACACACACACACACACACACACACACACACACACACACACACACACACGCGCGCATACATCATTTTGGATGCTCTGCACAAAACCATGGAATAGAAGGGAGGGGAGGCAAGGGAGGGTGACAGAAAGAACAGGAAACAGGAGTGTAGAGAGCAGTTGTAAGATGTGCAGGCTGTTATTTGAATGGAGTGGAAGCAATGAGGGATTCATGAGATGCTTTGTGCACAAGGACTGTTTGCTGCAGGCTTTTTATTGCATGTGTTCATCTTCGTGCTCAGGTGGAACCAGATGACATCTTGCGGCTTTCCTCGCAAGAAACCAGGAGGGAATGTCAAGGAAAATCCCTTTTCTTTTCTCCTTTTCTTGCGGTTGCTGATTATACCTACGGTTTGTGACTTTCCACGGGAAGCCGTTATCCCTCTTCGTCTGTGTGTGTGCTGGTAAAAGTCTTCCCCTAATGGAAGACTGCATGCAATCGTCCACACAGAATCAACACACTGTGGCTACATATTTTTAGTCCAGACTCCAACGTAATTTGGTGTTGGAAAGATTGGCGGGAGGAGGTAAATCCTGACATCCCAACATGATTCAACTTCGAGCACATGTCCCTCATGATCCATAAAAGTGGACGAACACTTCACTGCTTTTCGTCCTCCCTCCAACCATCCTGTTGATAATCCCCAGTCCCAAACACGGGGACACAGGGCCAAGCAAGGAAAGGGTCGTTCCTCCTCATCCTCCTTCAATCATCCCTTCCGCCCTACTCTTCCGCCAGCTTTTCATGAGCTTTCCCAATTTGTTTGTGAAGAGGAAAGTTGTGCCACTTTCCCAGTCCACCAACCCCTCCCTCGCTTGCTCCCTCACTCCCTCACTCATTCACCTCCCTCCCCCCCGCCCCCCCAATCTTTCATCCTCTTTCATGAACTTCATTCTTCACCTTCTACTCTGGTGCTTGTGACTTTGCTCCCGCAATACGTTCATAAGGGGTACTCGTCCTCCTCCTTTTGACATCCCAACTGTTTGTGTGCTCCAACATTCTGTTTGTCAAGAGGGAGTGGGCGGGGGGGCGAGAAGGGGGAAGAAAATACCATGCTCGTGTGTGACGCCACTGCTTTCCCCATTGCTCTTCCTCTCTTTCTCAATCCCTGCCTTCCCAACCTCCGTTCACGATCTCCAGTCCCTTTGAAAGGATTTCAAAGCCAAGTCCCGTGTCCCAGTCCCAGTATCCCAGTGGTCCCAGTCCCATGCACTATATACCCGAACCAGCAGGCCCTGTCCCGAATCGCCAATTCAGGCTCTCTAGGTCGTTTGATGTCTTACATTGTTAGGAGTCCGGTAGGTCTGGTACCCAACAGAAAAGTCCTAGTCTAAATTTAGCAGCAGCATCCAGGGGAGCACCGGAAACTTATGGAACCGGGACCCGACAAGCCTTGGAAGACCATTACCGGTCTGGGGCTGTCAAAGATTGTCAATTGCAGCTGCTACCTAACCAGCTACACTGCCTGGGCGACTCACTTGTTCATTGGCAGTGTGCAGAGTCGCTGATGAACGCTTGTGCGCTGGTTCGATGAGACTGGTCTGGCGATCTGGCGGATCTGGTGGGCAGCGCCATAGCTAGGATAGCCGCCCCAGATCTCTGCTAGCACAATTGCTTACAATTTTGTAATTTCTGCTGATCTCTCCTCTCCGTGCATTGCTTGCGAGTGTGTTTTGTGGGTTTGGGAGCTTGCATGATTGCGATGCTGGAGTTGAGTTAAGCTGGATCATTGCACCTTATATTTTGGCAATTTCTTTTCGGGAGCAAAAGACTGAAACGACGCCATTCCTCCTACCCCTCCTGTCTCATCCCACTCTTATTCCCCCGCTCCTTGTACGATGTCATCATTGTTTGCCAGGTGGGGAAGTTGTTATTCCTTTTGACTGCTCCTCCCCCTTCCTCCAGCATCCATCTCACGCCCCACTTCCATCCTCTCATTCATGAACTTCATTCCCATCTTTCACCCTGCCATTGGCGACCTTGCCATGATTGACTCGTAAGCAGTATTCCTCCTCCTCTTCCTCCTATCATTTCCCTGATCATCATGACCTTCCACAATATGTTTCACGCGGAGGAAAGAAAATGAAATGATCTACATATCAAACAATCATCAATTTTCCCCACTGCTTGTCCTCCCTTGTGCTCCACCCTTGCTTCAGCCATTCTTGAACCTCATCCTCACATCATACTCCTCACCCTCCTCAACAGATGCTCATGCAAGTTGCTACTCCTCCCCACCGCCCTTCGCTCCATCCTCCTCCACCCATTTGATGTTCATGATCATCAGCCCTACCCTAAGCCCTGATGTGCTCATCCTCCTTCGGGCACTTTCCCCCCCTTTTTTTTAAACTAAAAGAAGCAGTGCAGGCTGCCTTCTCCTCATATGGGGGGACAGCTGCATTTACTATGCTACTTTCCCCTCTCAAAGTTTTCCATCTCACACTACCTACCCCGGGCTGTGTATTCAAACTGGTCTACCCACCTTCCGGACCTGCGAGGGGCAACCCAACCTAGCAAGGAACCCAGCTCCATGTTTCGAAAGACGACCACAGGGTTTAAGGTCAAAGACTACCCACTACCTACTAAGGGTTATGGGTTGGATTCCCGGTCCTACTCTGCTCAACTCTGCTCTGTGCAGGGAGCAGTACCCCGGCTCCTAACACTACGAGCTGGAAAGCATGCAGCCGCTTCCGCAACCAGCCAGATGGCCCAAGCCAATTATCTCCACTGGTAAACCCAAGGCTTATCACAGGGGCCAGCGGGGGATTGAATGGACGACGTGGGGAATCGAATCCACGACCTCCTGAATACCACTTACATGCTCCACCAACTGAGCTAGCCCGGTTGGGCTTGCTCATTCTCTTTCCACTACTGTTCATTCACCGTTTTTGTGAGCTTCCGCCACACCTTTGTATAGGGGAAAAAAGTGCAGCCCCCCTCTGGGCAGGTGGCGACGACCCGCAGTGGAAGGTGAGTGCAAACACATGCCAAGGGGATTGGCACCCACTGTCTGTCTCTCTCTCTCTCTCTCTCTCTCTCTCTCTCTCTCTCTCTCTCTCTCTCTCTCTCTC